GTTAGAGCCCGCGCGGCGCTTTTTACCGGTGAGCCCTGTTACCTCCTCCTCCGGCGCGATAAGGGCCGCCGAAGGATCTGGAGCCTGCCCTTCAAGAGCTTTCTCCTTGTCCCTCTTCGCCCTTCTCTTCTGGGCTCCGCTGCGGTTCCTCTTATGAGGTGCCCTTACATCGCCCGCGTTGCTCCCGTTTCTTTCCGAGCCCGTTCCAAAGCAGGAACCATCTCCACCTCTGCTGCAGCGACCACCTCGCTTTCCGAGCCCTCGCAGGCCCGTACTTGCGGCGCGGTCGCCGCCGCCTCCGCCGAGTGCCCTTCCGGGCCTTCGGTTATCGCGTCTTCATCGATTTTTAGTGTGTTGAACTTATCCAAGCACATCCCACGAGCAGCTAGGGAACGACAAGGTCCGCCCACGCAGAGCCCCGCATGCGTGGGTAAGGCTAGATACTCTGGGGTTTCGCCCGGTGCCCTAGAGGCATCGATCACGGCACTGCTCCCCCGGTGCCACGCAGCCTTCACCTCGATGGCTTCCAGCTTGGCTTGGGGGGCTGGTCCACGGCAACGGTCTTCCCGGACTCACGCAGGGCTTTACACCTGGAGGTCCGTTTATAACCGCCACTACCCAGAGGGACCTCCAGTCACACGCGGGGTTTCACATCCGGGAGACCGGGCACCCCTCCGGACGTGCTCCAATCCGCCACCTGGAGACGCGCCCGATAGATAGCCCAACCCACGGGGATTCTGTATCTTGAAACGAGGTGAAAATTACAAAAGTGAGTGGATTTATTAGAATAATGATAATTTCATTGTCAGCACCTAGTAAATTTGTTCATTTTTGAAATTTTCACCTCGTTTGAAGATACAGAATCCAGTATGCGCCCCGCGCGTAAAGCGCTCGCGTCTAATCGTGAGCGCCGCTCCTGTCCGTCTCCTCTACGCGGCCTGTGATACGCTAACTATTTCTTCTTGTAATTTGAAAACTAAGCTTCAAATAAAATTTTCGCAAAGGAAAAATCGTCTTAGAATTAAGTCAGGAATATGACACTTTAAGGACAAACGTTTTTTTAAAATCACACTGTATAGTCAGTATATAACATATAATATGATTTAGAATAAATTTGTTATTAAAATATCATATTCCTGACTTAATTTTAAAACAATTTTTTCCTTATCAAAATTTTATCCTAAGCTTAGTATTCAAATTATATAACAAGGAATAGTTAACGAATTACAAGACACGTATAGAAAATAGGCAGAAGTAAAATCGCTCTAGTAAGAGTCGAGACGTAAGCGGTCCTCTTCGTGATTGGTGTCATGTTTCAGTTTGTTAATGTGTTAGTGAATGTAAGTGAATAAGTGAAAGCAATTTTTATTATTGGTACGGGCGGTTTTTCGCTTCTCTCTCGGTCTGAGTTAATTATCTTAAAATAATCATCGCCAGTCCAATTTTGGCCGTATTGACCCCTTTTTTATTTTTCTGAGGGCAGGTGTCATTTATTAAAAGTAAGTCATTAGAGATTTAAGTATTCTCATTTGCCATTTTGGTTTCACTTGATTAATAGGTTATAGTACGATTAATGACAAAGGTAAATGTTAAGATAAGAGCCCGCTCAAATTTTGATAATAATACATTGAATCGATGCGTTTTCGCGTAAAAACCCTTGTAGAAAGGTACTGAGCACTAGGAGTATTTTAAAGCACTACTATATTACAGTAATACAGTACTACTATACTACTACACTACTACCCGATTGCACACACTGTTCCCACTGTCTTCGTGGGTTAGAAATATTCCACAAACGGACACTGTCTACACTGCTTCTAGGAGGTTAGGCCCCAAGCGGGTAGGATGTTATTTATTTTTTGTTCGGGACGGCGTAATCTAATTGAGTCTGTGTACAATTGGGTCGTGCGCAATCGGATCCGTGCACAATCGGGTCGGTGCGCAATCGGATCCGTGTGTAATCGAGTCTGTGTCCGATCGTGTCTGTGTCCGATCGAGTCCGTGATCGATTGAGAAATACTGCCGTGTCCGATCGATAAATAATGTGCGCAATTGACCCTCGCTCGTAGTAGTATAGAAGTGTTCAGTAATGCTGAGTAGTACTAAGATCTTCTGTATATCCGCATTTCGGCAAAATACAAAATGCAGGAAACGAGTATGCGTCACAGAAACTAACTATTAATAACTCTATATGTAAAAAAGCGCTTTCAGAGACTCTATGAGCACACGCTGATTGAACTGAGAATAAATGACGGATTTCATTTACATATGCCTCTTTCTAGGGATCCACGTCATTTTCTCCTTATGAAAATTCTCACGGCGATACTGCGTACTATGCCGCTTGCACAGTATATGTACGCTATAGACGTTACCAAGCAAGCGGTGTAATACGCAGTATCGCCGCAAGACGGACTCGTTTTCCGTAAGGAGAAAATGACGCGGATCCCTATAAAGAGATATATATAAATGAAATCCGTCACTTACTCTTAGCTCGATTAGGGTGCTCGTAGAGTTTCTGAAAGCGCTTTTTTTTAAATAGAGTTATTAATAGTTAGTTTCTGTGATACATACTCATTTCCTGCATTTTGTATCTTGCCGAAACGCGGATATATAGATCTTAGCACTACTCAGCACTACTGAACATTTCTGCATTACTACAATAGTATACAGTAGTGCTGTAGTACAGTAGTGCTCAAAATACTCCTAGTGCTCAGTAGTACTTTTCTACAAGAGAATAAAGATTTGACTTGGTAGATTTGATATTCGTGAACCGAGATATTAGGTAATCCTTAACCCTTAATACACACCTTTGGGTTATTAATATTGTGCGCATTTCTTTTCTTTAAAATACTAAGAGCACCTGGTCAAATATCGGTCTCTTTTCTATTCCAAAAAAAGTTTGGCATCTAAAGAACAAGTTTTGTAGAGCAACTTTTAATTATACGCTCCAATACGCTCCATCGCTTACTGAGCGCTACATAACCTTACGGTTCAAATACGGCATTAGAGAAATAATAAACAGTAATAAATAAGTAAGAAATATGATATTAAAGATTATCTAAAGTAGACAATTATTCTACATTATGAATTATAATGAATAACCATATTAATCATAGCTTAATCCCTTTTTTGTTCAGTGAATGGTTTTTTTCGCATCCAATGGGCGCATTCAGCTTATTCAACTTAACAGTTGAGTAAGCGCTCACTATTATTGGTGTATTCTTTTAGCTCATCCAATCAGAATTTTAGATTTAAAAGAATACATCAATAGCAGCGAACGCTCTCTTAACTGTTGAGTCTGCTGAATGTGCCTATTGTTTCATAGTTTATTACAATTTATTATGATATTCAATATTCCGGCTATGGAAAATAACAAATAAATCCGTTTTTTTAAATGAGTACAAGTATATTTTTAAACGATGTACTTAAATAAGACCCACTTATATGATTATTATTATAGCTATTATTATTTGTTTGTTATGTGTGGAATTTATGCCAGATAATAACGATTTTCAATGCTGCTATCTGTTAAGAAGCCAAAATTGCATTAAAATTGCTAGAAATTTGTAAAGATTAAAGAGTTAATCACAAAAAAATTAATTATAATTATAAGATAATTATAACGTTTGAGAGTAGAGTAAGTCTTAAGGAATTTCATTTCTATGATTAATAATCATTTTAAAACTGATTTAGAAAAATAATGTTTACTTTCTTTGTTATTTTTAATTTACTTTTAATTTGGGCTTTATTATATATTATATATTATATTTATTATATTATATTTATTATATATTATATTCATATGCATGTAAAAAGGCCTAATGTCAGTTTAACAAATTTTTTTTTCGTTCATTTACAAATATTCTGTATAAACAATATATTTTATTTTTGGGAGTGAATGAAATGAAGATTTGATTCTCACTTAGTTTATTTCAATATCTCCGTAAATATAATTAAAAAAAAAAATAAAATAAGTTAGGTGGGCCTTATTTGGTTCAGATATCTTAAATGCTGAATGTCTTTACTTAACACTTTGTACAGCGTTTCAAAATTTTAAATCCACTTTTTTTCTAAAATTCATTATAATTCGAAAACTATCACAACCAGCCCTAGAATCTCCCCTATTTAAGACGGTCTTAAATATACTACATAAGATCCGACTATGAGTACCGACCTGAAAACATCTATGATTGGATAGTCAATACCAGTCAATACACGTAAGTTATATTCCATACTCTATAATTATGTTTACACAGCTCGATTTACGCCGAAATTATAACATCAGTGTTAAGAAAAATTGGCCGAACATAGTCATTCCATTCATTCCAGTCATTCCATTCTTTAGAGGAACAACTATGATTAACCAGTTTCATAACATCAATGTTATAACTTCGGCGTAAATCGAGTCGTGTAAATGTAGTCATTAAATAGCAATACTTATCGCAGGAGATGGAGCAAAATGCTTCGATTAACTTCCGATAATTATTTTCTTTTCAGGAATGGATATTAGATATCATTGCGTATGATCATGACAGATACGCAAATCACACAGAATTATGTTCGCTTAAGATATTGCTAAAAGATATGAAGAAGATATTTTACAGCCCGGAAATTCACATGTTTAATTATAAAATGAAGCCGTCTTATCAGGTGATATATTAATAATGTATATATTAAAAAAATATAAGTGATAATTAAAAAATAGTAGTTAATAACAAGTACAAATTAAAAAAATAAGATAATAAATAATAACACAAATTTTTTAACACACATTTCGAAACAAAGGTTAAAAAAAGTAGTATTTAAAAAAATAATAATAAGATATAACAAAGCATAAAAGCCAATGCTAGTTATTATTGCGAATGTTATTCTCAGGAACTCCTTAGATAATCGAAAACTCCATACCATCTTCCTGTATTTCCACTCATCCACATATTGGCAATAGCATTGGACGAAGAATTGAATAAATTTGTATAAAGGATAAATGTGGATGAGTGGAAATACAGGAAGATGGTATGGAATTTTCGATTATCTAAGGAGTTCCTGAACATGGTTTTATTATTTTAAGTTTGCGGCGTGAATTTACGAATTTGTTAGCGGTTAAGATATTTTTAAAAAATTAAGGAGGTGATCATACAAATGTTTATTAATTTGAAATGTTACTGAAGATGACCTGATGAGGATCGAAACGTATACAATTTGATGTAATAAGTGAGAATAACATTCGCAATAATAACTAGCGTTGGCTTTTATGCTTTGTCATTTCTTATTATATTATTATTTTTTTCGAATTTAAGCCATTACTTGATTGTATTGATATTCAAATAGTATTTAATTCAGTGCGTGCAAAAAGAAACAAATCCAATTTTGTTTGCAAATAAATTTTTTTTTTATTAATCTTAAAATGGATAGGAGCGCTTTTAGTGCAAATAGGGCACTCGTCCCAGGCTTCTATGGACCTAAAATCGAAAATAAACAATGTGAACAGAAACAGCATTAGTGCAAGACTCGCAAGATTGAGAAAAAATGGAATGCTACATCCCATTTAGAAGTTTTTTGATGAAATTTCCGAATGATTAACGACTAAACTTAAAGGGCTTAATAATTAGTGTTTTAACTCTAATTTCGAAAATATGTTGTGTAAATTATCTCATATTGTTTAAATTAAAAATAAAGAGAGATAATTGTTGCTTAACACTATTTACGATAAATAAAGTATCTATAGTATCTAATGTACTATGAAAATTTTTATTCTTTTTAGTACAGAACGGATATAAGTCCAAATTAAAAATTTAAGATTTTCATTTAAAAGATAAGATTTTCCTACAGCGCGAAATATTGCAGCAATATTTCAATAGTGCACAATATTACAAACATTGCACCAATATTGCTGCAATATTAAAATTTGAATATTTTATTGGAAGTATTGCAACAATATTGCAGTATTTTGTTGCAGTATTACAATTTAGTAAATAAGTACGCGGTCCCGCCACGAGAGAGATATGCTTCTCATAAGGAGAAAACATCCAGGAGTTCTATAAGGACGTAAATCGAGTTAACGGGTCTTTGGAGATCCCTTTTTTTGGATGCACTTCTTAGGCATCCGAATATTTTTTGATCATAACTTTATCGTACGTATTTTAGAATATGATACTAAACAATAATATGTTAGCAATTGATAAAACTAGAATAATTATTGAAATATTGCATAATGTTACAGTAACATGTATGCAATGTTTCTTTAAATTATAATAGTAATAAGGCTCAATAAAATAAAAAAATGAAAGAGAAAGGGCTACGAGCCTAAGATTTAGTCGTTATAAATTGAAATTTTTGAACAGTTACAGAATAAAATAGGTCATTTAGTTAGAATATAAAACTTTAATTTGTCGGCAATAAACAATAGAACGCAAATAAACATTCCTTGTTGGATCATTATCAATGTTAAAATACAAAAATAGAGCAGTGAAAATATTACGAGAAGTTAAAATATAAAAATTACAATTCACTCTCAATCGCAAGCAATAATATAATAAAACTCACAGTCATTTAATATAATAAACCTCGCTTAGTATGAGTTGAAAATTATATGAACTTTGTAATCGGTGACAATGTATACTTCTGATTATTATTCCAGTAGATCAAACTAATTTGTATCTGTTAAAAAGTACATAAATAATTTAAACATACAATATTAAATGTATAAAATAAAACGCAAAGTATAAAAATACAATATACAAAGCAAAGAATAAAAATCAAAATAAAAATCAAAATAAAAAGTAATCTAAGATTCTAAGAAATGTAAAATGAATTAATTAGTCGTAATAATAAAAAATGTGTGATGTACAATTACACAGTGAAATATATAAAATTAAATTTAGTAACAGTTAAAATAACAGATAATAGATACCTTATGAATCGTGTGTCAGTATAATATAAAATTCTCTATTTTAAGACAATGCGATGAGAGTGGAATAGTTATCTCTCTAGTATGTTCAGAGACAATGTGAAAACGACAAACTCTGGTAAGAAGATTGAGATGCTAAACCAGAAGCAAGGGGTACATAAGAGGGGGAAAAATTAAAGTAGAAGGAAAAAGGTGGAAAGAAGGGAAGTAAGAAAGGAAGGAAAACAGTTAAGAAGGAGAAAGAGATTGAATAATTTGAGAGTAAGAATCAGGTAATGATTCAGTATCATTCATTTTATTTAGACCTTATTTCTGTCTTTTAATGTGAATAATTTCAGATACTAATCTCTTGTTATAAGAAGACTTGCAATCTAAAATTCTCACATCATCCCATCTAAAATTGTGGTCTAAATTGACACGATGATCGGTTATGACAGTGGGAGAACCAGTATTCCTCCTAATATCAGATTTATATTCATGTAATCTAGTGCTCAATTTCCTTTTGGTCTGACCAACATAGCTCGCTTCACAATCATCACAGGAAATTTTATATACAACGTTCTGGTTGGATAAAAATTCCAACTTATCTTTTCCTCTCCTAATAAGACTTTTTAATGTGTTAGGGATGGTGAAAGCTAGTTTACAATGAAACATACTGGAAATCGGAAGAAAATTCTGAGATAGATTTGACGTAAGGAATAGTAAAATATTTATCTTTTACTTGTAAATTGCGTGTAGTATGTTTATTGTGCATATGGAACTTTAATCTTTGTTCAATTGTGGAAAAGATGAATGATAAAGGGTAACAGTTATCTAGGAAAATGTGGATAGCATCTATTAAATTTTTTTGTTGGAACCATGGATGTGATAATAGGATAATTTTGTCTATGAAGCTGATAATTATACCTTTTTTGTGGCAAAGAGGATGATTAGGGTAAAAGTTAAGGAACCTTCCAGAGAATGCCTTTTTATGATAAATGTCAAATATAATTCCCTGATTGTCTATGATAAGAGTTGTATCTAAAAAACTTAATCTGCCTCCCGTACCAATCTCCAAGGTAAATTGTAGTCTTGTATGTAAAGAGTTAAAAGTATTTAAAGCATCATTTATATTATCAGATGGAAGCGCGATAATGACATATCTGAGATAAAACAATGGCTGTACTAATAATTTATTGATTGCTGTTTTTTCAAGATCTTGCATTACAATGTCGGCAATAATCGGTGATAACGGTGAACCCATTGGAGTACCAAATATTTGTTTGTAAATTTTATTATTAAAAGTAAAAAAGGTAGAATCTAAAATAAATTTAACTGTAATAATAAATTCATTTTTTGAAATGTTTGTCTTCGTTGAGATGTACTCCCATCTCCTATTGATGCTATTTAATACTAGATCAATAGGAATATTAGTGAAAAGGGAAATCACATTTAACGAAGCTAAAACATATTGAGAATCAAACCGTTTGTCATTTAACTTCTCAACCAAATGGAAACTGTCTTTAATATAACTAGAAGCTTTTGGTATGCTGTCATTAATTATGTTATATAAAAAAAGAGAAAGATAATATAATGGACTATTGATAGAAGATACAATAACTCTCAATGGGTTGCCGTCTTTATGTATTTTCGTCAAACTGTAAGTCCTAGGTATAACATCATCGGTTGTAAGCAATCTGCCATATGTTTGATCGTCTATAAATCGATCGCGCCTTCATCTTACAAGCAACGTGCGTAAGTCTTGAGTTAACTTTTTAATTGGACCTTTAACAATGATTTCATAAGTATTAGAATCTGAAAGAATCTCCTCCATCTTTGATACGTAAGCGTCTTTGTCAAGAACAACAGTGACATTCCCCTTGTCAGCGTTTGTAATAAGGATATTTGGATGGTCATTTATAAATTTATTAGTTATGTGTAACCAATTTGAAATCTGTTTGTCAATAACATTAGGAGAAGGAAAATTATTATGGAACCTGTTAAGAAATTGAAATAGAATTATTTCTAACAAAGTGAATAATATTTTTAGGCCGACCAATAATATTACTTTTAATTTGTTTGATAAATTCAATTAAAGTTTTTTCTTTGTTGTTTTTATTAATAGGAAGCCCAAATTTCTCACCAAGTTGTAATAAAAATTGAACTTCTAAAGGAATGTCAGTGCTGCTCAAATTAACGAACCATTTGTCATGTAACATATCTAGGGGAGGAGCCTCACTAAAGATTTCAGGATTAATATCAATTCTCTCAGAGTCAACACAAATGTTATGTGAGTCATTGTGGACCTTTAGTTAGATATTATTAGAATTATCATTAAAAACCGAACAGACGTACGAAACTGGTTTAATTTGAGATTTAGATAATGTAAATTTCTTATGTTGTAGCCAATCTATTTTTTTAATAATTCTAAAAATATAAATTGCTAATATGATCCAAATATTAAAAAAAAATTACACTTTATGGAGGCCGGCAAAATATCCGGAACCGTATTAGAGAGATTAAAAATATCATTTCTGGTTAAATGTAAGTGGCAGTAAGCATCTTTCAACTCTAATCGCATAATTGCCTTTACATGGTTTAGTTGTATCCTTTCAAGTTTTTTTATAGGAAGTATTACAATACAATGAAAAATGATTAGATTTAGTGAATTTATATAAATGTGGAGGAACTAATTCCAATTTCAAATAAGAATTTATAAATTTGATACGGACCCTAATATTAACACTCAATTTAATTAGATTATATAATCTTTTCAAAAAGTTACAAGTATAGAAACCAAATTGATCTTTAATGAAAGCGAAGGTAAACGGTAGATATTCGTGATTATAACGCATTGTTTCGTAAATTAAAATATACAGACAAAATAATAGAGTTTGTCGTTTTCACATTGTCTCTGAACATACTAGAGAGATGACTATTCCACTCTCATCGCATTGTCTTAAAATAGAGAATTTTATATTATACTGACACACGATTCATAACGTAGGGTAAAAGCAAGGATTATGGAATAGCTTGTTTTAAATTAACATTGTTCCGATATAAATGCATATGAAGACTTTAAATTTATACAGAACTCTTGAGGAATATATTAGCTACAACATTCAATAAATGAAAGTCGCAACAAAATTTAAGTCCAACGTCAATATTAACAAAAAAGTCAAAAGTGAGAAAATGGGGGGGTCTA